ACACATACACAGCACATTGTGTACACATGCACAGCATATTATGCTATGTAATGTGCTTGTTAATCCGGTTCAAATGTAAAAAACAAATCACCTTTCTTTGTCGAGTTCCTTTAGCTCTGGAAGATATTCCTCAACCAAAAAATATTAGGTCATCTTTTGGAATGACGTTTTCTTCAGTAACTAGAACTTGGGCTGCCAAGTGTCTGACGGTAGGTGACATGGAGCTTTGGCGCCCTCTGGAGGTTAAGTGGAAAGTAAGTAATAGAGCAGAACCAGAGGCTCTACTCAGCACTTGACATTTTTTGTTTTATCAGTCTAAGAAATAGGGACCTCTATGGAACGAATGACTTCCAAGTCACCCACTGTTGCACACCACTGCAGGCCTATGGAAAACATGCATCCAATTAGAGGACTATCAATTTAAAACAAGGGAGAATCAGTTAAGTATAAGAGTCACACTTGAAGAAAGACAAGATCCCATCAAGGCATTCATTTGGCCTGCTTCAAAAGTAAAACAATTCTGTGCACTAAATGTCTTGACATATCTTTGGATAAAATTTTATGTTATCAAAATACATTGCCTGAAATTTCTATTGACTTTGTAATTATCATATCTGAAACTTATGGAGAAGATCTAAAAGTAAATGACTAGCCTGAGTGACTACATGGGCAAACATATAGTTCTTTGCAAATAAACCCACAAGAAAGAAAATCATGGCTTCAGTAATCAAGTTCATGGATTCTAGATATTCTTGCCACTGAAATGCTGTGTTCTGGAGCTGGTCCTGGAAAGTATAGTGTTGTTCATCCATGGATCCCATGAAATATTCCAAGCAGATGCTTGAGCATGACCATGACCCTACACCCAAGACAGTTGAGAGGATGCCACACAGGCTTCCTCAATCCCTCTACCTTTTCCTGTCTGGGACTGTGATGAAGAGGACACCTTCAGCCTTCAGGGATAAGAGGCTCAGTCCTAAGATCTACTCAGTGGCTCAAGTATACAACTATGCATTTTATAGAACTTTAACACAGGTCAAATTCAAAGACAAAGCAGACAAATGCATTTGTATCTGTTGTTGATCTTGACATGAAATTAGCAGTGTATTTGTAAAGACTATATTGCAATATGAAGCGTATGTGTGATCAGGCTATAGAGAGAAAGGCAATGTTAAACAACTTCACTGATAATCAAGGAAATACAATAAACAGTGGGATTTTACCTGTCAATCACAAAACATTTCTGTTGTGACTAAGTGGAGACTGATCCCAGGACACATGTATAATTGATGCCCAGATATCCTTTTGAATACTAACTTAACAATACTTCAGTAACAATAACTGCCATAAAAAGTTATTTTGTAAGCAATTTTGACAAACAGGAATTTATCCCCAGCCAATAACAGAAAGGTAAGGTAGTTCTTGAAGGTGACAAGTGTCTGTATCATTTATATTGGCAATCAGTACATAACTGCAACTTCACACCAGAAACTGGCTAAGTAGGGTTGGCCTTACCTGGTTTGGTCACTATGAAGTATTTGACAATCAGGTTATATAACAGAAGTATTATAATGAAGTGACTGAAAAGCTACATGACAGAAGATAGGCTTCCAGAAAAAGATGATGGTGACCACGGCCCCCTGTCCAAACATACTGGATGTTTCAAATAACACAGCATAGGTGAGCTTGGGTGAAGAGTGGAAATAGCAAGCAAAAATTCCAAGCAGATGGGGCAGTGTGGAGTCAAGAGCACTAGATATCCTGAGTCAGGGACTCGGAGATTACTTCACATGAAATGGACAGATACATACACAGATCAGCTGCCTCCAATCACAGAAGGCACCATAACTCATTTCTGTTGCTAAAGACACAAGCAATGTTGACTGGTTTCCTAAAACAGGAGGTCCAAACCCATCACAGGAGCTACAACTTAGTAGAGGTAACGCAGAGGGTCAGCTGAAGGCCACAGAAGGAGACACAGCCCACAAGCAAGATGCAGGAGCCAGTGATTCAAACGTGCCTGACAGAGTATCAAGGAAACAAAGCCTATAGGCATAGATTCCCTTTGGTCTTATGTCCTGGTTGGTATTTTGTCAACTTGACACAAGCTAGTTATCTGGGAAGAAGGAACCTCAATTGAGAAAATGTTCCCTACCAGACTGGCCTGTGGGGCAAGCCTCTGGGACATTTTCTTGATTGATGATAGATGTGGGAGGACCCAGTCTACTGCAAGCAGTGCCATCCCTGGGAAGGTTGTCCTGATTTGTATAAGAAACAAGGTTGAGCAAGCTGAAAGGAACAAGCCAGTGAGCAGCACTCTTCTTGGGCTTCTGCTTCAGTGTCTGACTCTAGGTTCCTGATTTCCTGCCCTGACTTTCTTCAATGTAGGACTGTGATGTGGAAGAGTAAGATGAAATAAACACTTTCTCCCCCATGCTGCTTTTGGTTATGGTGTTTTATCACACCAATAGAACCCAAACTAAGACATTCTGCTTTTCTAGAACCCCATTTACATGGAGTTAACACTAGTTTTAGAAACAAAAAGAAACGATTAAAAAACAGAAAATCAATATATCGACAGCAACTGGAATCAATATACACAGAGCTGCTGTGCTGTGGAATGTCATTCTACATGCTGTGAATGTGTTGCTCTGATTGGTTGATAAATAAAATGCTGATTGGCCAGTAGCCAGGCAGGAAGTATAGGTGGGATAAGCAGACAAGGAGAATTCTGGGAGGAGGAAGGCTGAGTCAGGAGTCGCCAGCCAGACAGAGGAAGCAAGATGACAAGGCAGAACTGAGAAAAGGTATCAAGGCATGTGGCTAAACATAGATAAGAATTACGGGTTAATTTAAGCATAAGAGTTAGTCAGTAATAAGCCTGAGCTAATGGCCAAGCAGTTATAATTAATATAAGCCTCTGTGTGTTTACTTGGGGGATATGAGTGGGAGAGATTTGTCCTGACTGCCAGCCAGGTGGGACAGGAAAACTTCCAACTACACTGCTGTTTTACTTGCAGCTTACAGGAACTTCTGAAACACAACACAGGCAGGTGGCATACTGCAGGTGGATAAAGTGTGAGTTCTCAAGTCAGTGGCCATGCTAGACACCAGTTTTACAGAGGCCTCTTCACCTATGAGAGAGAACGCACCTGTCTGCCTGCAACTTGGAGCTCAGCTTCTGGTACATTTTATATATTTCTAAATGGATACTATATAAAAAAAATGAGCTAGAAATTTCCAAAATTGATAACTTGAGAACTAACTATACAAGACAAATACAGACAAACCTAGATGTATCACAATGCAATTATAGATCACAAAAAAGGGAAAAAAAATCTGCAGAGGAATAAGGCAGCAACAGTCAGCTGGACAAGATGTCTCATTGGTGACAATTCTAGCCCTACATCTATGGAACAGGCTCCAGCCAAGGCCATATGGCTGAGGCATTGCTTAATCAAGGACTACCAACCCCCTTTCCTCTGAACAACAGCATGTCTTACCTTCAGGTCTGGCCCTGGATACCTTTTCCGCTAGTCTCTAACAGCCTCACTGGTCCCTCCCACCAACCTATGCTCCTCCACATCTGCTTCATGCTTTTGTTGTCCACTAAGAAACACTTGATCTTTTTCCAGAACACATAGAACCCCACTACCCCATTCATGTCTGCATCAGAAGCAACATCATATCTGTGGTTTTAAGTCCCTGCCAACTACCTCATGACTTTTTTCCTTTTCCTTCTCAGCCTGCTCAAGCCAGAACAGCCTGAACGCAGGCTACAACACAGGCCATGCTTTTGTCCTAAACAGCCCTGTCATGGGCATCCGTGTCAGTCAGGATTGCCAGTCTTTCCAGGTTTCAGGGACTTGCGGCCCCTCGGTTCGGAAATTGGCTTCACATAGGCTGCCTGTACCTTGTCCCAACCCTACATGGTCCCACCATTTTCTCCCTTCAGGAACTGCTTAAATTACAATATACTGCTAAGAGCCTCCTGCACCACTTGCTCTCTCCAGAGCACTTCCAGTACTCAACTTGGCTTCCATGTGCTTGGATTCCTGCAACTTTGGACAGAAAATGTTCAAGGGGAAAACTACATCTATGAAGAACATGAATGGCTACTTCTAAAAATTATCATTCCTGAAAAAGTATAGCAATGACTTGCATAGTGTTTTTATTGTATTGGATATTTTAAGTCATCTAAAGATTAAACTATATGAGTATGTGTGTGAGTTCTGTGCAGATGTTATACCATTTTAGGTAGAGACTTGGGCACTTGAGGATTTTGGTATCTGAAAGGGATTCTGGACTCAGTTCCTTGTGGGTACCAAAGAATGACTGCATAAACTTGACTATCTGAAAACACTGTCTCCAATGACTGGTTCATAATATCCACTTTGACAGTCTCTGGCACTTAGATGCCCATTCCTTATCTGCCATATGAATCAGTGGATGTGGGACAGGCACCCCCTGACCACAGCTGACCCCAGTAAATATTCATAAAGGATAGGCTGGTTGGCAGAATGTCATATGACCCAACATTCCACTTAAGGTACCCAGGAGGCTCCTCTGTGAGTGTCCTTACCCAAGGAAAGTCATCAGTTTTGGCCCTCAGGAATGGAGTCAGTTGTGTGCCAGACTCCAATATTTGCTGAAGAATGTTGAAGCTTTGTTCTGAATCTTAGCAGGCCTATGAACACTTCATGTCCACAGGGATGTGTTGTGAAGAGAGAAGAGGATCACAGTCCCTCGCCACTGCATTTCTCATAGGATGTTAATAACAGACCCACATATGGTTTTCTTATTTACACATCTCCATACTGACTTTCCTCTACTGATGCTGACATCATTGCATTTCCAGCAGCATGAGAAACACAGGCAGAGACCAAGAAACCAGCCCTACAGAGAAACCTGGCTCAAGGTTAGATTCAACACATACACACACACACACACACACACACACACACACACACACACACACACACCAGGGAAAGCACACTGCATATTATCAAACATATTTTATTGTATAGTAATGCGCAGTAATCAACAAACATAAGGTTTAATAGGTAGAATGTGTAAAATGGTTATCACAGGCCTTTGCTTTCCATAACTACTCAGTAAAAGAATATTTCCTTATGTCTCTCAGATTGCCTGAGAACCTTGCAGTACAGAAGTGTGAACACAGCACTGGTCAAATCTGTAAAATCCTCAGAGCTGCACTGACAAACCCAATTGCTTGTTCATAATTCTGGCTTGCAGGGTTTTCCTTAATATAAGGACAATATTACGACAATTCCTCAAAGTATAATTTTAGCCACTGAGTGTGAGTTTCATAAAATACAAAACATTTGTTTATGTGTTATGTGTGTACCAATATTCATGCAAGTGTGAAAGCTAGAGAACCACCTCAGGTGTTGCTCCTCAGGAATGCCTACTATGTTTTTTTTTTTAAACATCTACTTGTGTGTGTGTGTGTGTGTGTGTGTGTGTGTGTGTGTGTGTGTGTGTGTACAGTCAGAGGACATCCTGTAGGAGTTGGTTCTTTCCTTTCAGCAAGTGGGTTTTCCAGGAACTGAACTTGGACTGTACTGCTTAGCAGCAACCACCTCTACTCACTGAGCTATCCTGTAAGTTCCCATCTCATTTTTGAGACAGTCTCTGGCCTAGAGCTAGCCAAGTAGGCTGGCTGGTTAGGGAACTCTAGACATCTGTCTATTTCCACATCTCCAGCACTGGGATTATAATTTGTGCACAAATTTTAAGTGAGTTAAAACTTAGGTCTTCATGCTTAAAAGGAAAGTACTAACTGAGCCATCTCTCCAACCCAAAATATTCCTTTTTTTTAAAAAAAGTAAAGCACATGTGCATCCACAACCACATATGCAGACACAAGGCACAAAAGCCTAAAAGTCAAGGTCATAGATATTAATAGTATTAATATCATAGTTATTATAGTATTAATATCAACACATGGCGAAGTAAACAATACCTTTGTACTATTTTATCAGAGAAAAATAGATTAAGTTGGATGGTTCCAAATACAGGCAGTCCAAACAATGTGTGATTGGTAAGTGTTGTCTTAAAATGTACAGAATCCACAAGTGCCCTAGTTCCTCTCTAGTCTCTCCAACACCCATGAAGCTGCCCTGGACAAAGCCAGAACTCAGGCTACTCAACCCCTCTCTGACCCATTTTGCACAAGCTTTGGACACAAAGGTCAAGGGGAACAGATCTGGTTGGTGAGTTCTAGACCTATTTGACACTCTCCTGCTTCAGATTTATCTAACCAAATATAATTGACCAATTTGTTCTTATTTTCTGTGAAACTAATCAATGTTATTGTGAATGCCTTTGTAACCATAAAAATGATTGAACAACCTGAACCAGTAATTTTCAGAATCACACAATTAGATATACCCTTAGATGCAATGTCCATGACTTAACAGTGTGATTTTAAATTTAAAACTGACTTACTATACTATGCTATTTCCTTTGGTACTTTAGTTTAATGTAAAAATGGAACAAATCAAGAAATGAGAACACAATTTAGGTTAAGTGCTGCAGTGGCTTCATGAAGGAGCCACAAACTCACACCTTAGGATTATCAGATTCACAATTCAGTCAGTAGGCTTTCTACTAAGAGTTCATAAACATTTAAAACTGAGTATCTGGATTTAAGAACATAACTGTAATCTATCGAACTGTCTACTTTTAACCTTTTAAATACTTTTATCTAGATTTTTACTTTAGAACTTTGAAGAATGTTTCATTTAGGAAGGAAAAAACTCCTATTAAATAAAGAAAATACAAATTATTTCTTTAAACTAAAGCTAAGAGTCTACAGAATTCCCAGTATTAAATACTGTTTCTGAGTCTCCAGTCATTTGCAATTTCTGGAGATTTATTGCTCCAGATTCCATAAACACTAAGGATATCTGAGAAAACAGAAGAGAAGCTATAAGCCCTTCTCTGTGCTCGACAAACCCCAGCATGTGACACTCAGGAAGAACTGGTCTGCACTTGTCACAGTCTGTGTAGAAACAACTAAGTCATTCACCGAGTATGCAAGTATTTATAATTTTGTACCCAGAAAAAACAAAACCAAATGGTTCATTTGACATACTATTTTCCATGGAGTCTTGACTTTACAGCTCCCATTCTAGATTAGTATTTTTAAACAAAACATTTTCAGTGGCATAGTCCCAACTCGATTCTTTAGAGGCTTAGCTTCATGGGAACTGATATACTGCATTCTTTTCCAAACCTGTCCCACAGTTCCCTCAGCCAGGGTACTGCTGACATTATATACAGAACAATATTCCATGATGGGGCTGTCCTGTGCTCTGTAGTCTCTACCCAACAGACACCAGTACCATGTCCAGCATCCTAGTCTCTACCCAACAGACACCAGTACCATGCCCATCTGTGGTGACAAATGTCATCAAAGTCTCTCTCTCTCTCTCTCTCTCTCTCTCTCTCTCTCTCTCTCTCTCTCTCTCTCTCTCTGGTTTTTCGAGGCAGGGTTTCTCTGTGTAGCTTTGTGCCTCTCCTGGAACTCATTCTGTAGCCCAGGATGGCCTTGAACTCACAGAGATCCACCTGGCTCTGCCTGCCAAATGCTGGGATTAAAGGTGTGAGCCACCACTGCCCAGTTTCAAAATAACTCTTAACTGAGAGCGACCACTACAGGGTAGAAACAGGAGAGTGAGTAGGTAGTGGTGCCACAGCAGGATGGCGCTGTTTATTTTTGTTTCCACACTCAAAATTGAGTGAACTCTAGTTATATAATGAGGTCTACCAGCAAACTGTGAAAAGCTGTGCAAGTTTCTTCCTGTGGCTAAACCAGAAAGCTCCCACCATGCAAATGTGGGTCCACATTCAACATACATTAAGGTGACATCGTTAGCTCTTTTAAGAAACAGCTTTAGTGAGGCCTCCATCTTTGTGGGTGTAAAATATAAGAACCATTTTCCAAACCATGAGTCAGGTGACAGAGGACATCTGGGCCATGTGAAGCTTACAGCTGGAAACAACCAAGTTGTAGGAAAAACAAGGTCCACAGCAACAGTGAGGCATTATTCTTCTTTTCTTCTCCTTTTTCTCTCCTTTCTCTTTGCTTGCAAGCTCTTTAGGTCAGACATCACATTCAAAGTCTTCTGTATCCACATAATCTAAAATCATTTGAAGTCATTATTAAAACTGGAAAGCTTATGACTGAAGAAACCCAGGACATAAAAAATCTGTATCATACATACCACAATGACCATAGCATTGAACAGCAGTGGTGCTGAGAACACGATAGATATGAACATCCCCCGGGAATCAAAATACTGGTATTTTGCAAACAATCTGTTTTAGAAACAAACAAACAAAAATAATTATTGGACTTTCAGTCCTGGGAGGTAACAGAAGAACAGCAGTTAAGAGTCTGGGTTCACTGAAGAGTTTGCATCAATTGTATGTAACACAATGACTTAAACTCTCAAAACTGCACAGAAATAGGTCCAATGTTTCTCATAAATTACAGAGTAAGAGTTGCATTCCTGCTACAGCTACTTAAGAAAGTACTGTGTCTAGTACTTTCTGCTCCCAGCCATCTCAGTGAAGAATTGCCTTTCTGTGTAAGAGATTTGAAGGCTGCATGATTCCAACTTGCACAAGAGTAAAGAGCCAGGCAGCAGAAGGTAGCGGCTGTCTATGGGGATTTCTTTCTTGGTAATGTGGAAATATGCTAGATAGCTGTTTTCACTGACTCAGTAACAGTGACTGCAAAACCTGCTACATGAGCTACGGGTTACAGATTCACTCTTAAAGAACACCTACCTTCTGGAGAGAAGAAGTAGTTCAGATAGAATGCTAGTCTGACTTATCAAAACAAAGCAGGGAACATGGGAATCTATGGGCGGGGAAAGGTCAAGATCAGTCTCTGACCTGGAGAAGGGATCAACACAAATTTGAGGTGGCTGTGGGGTTAGCAGGAGGGGCTGCAGCAGAGGCCATGGGCATCAATACAGTTCTGTGCCTTTCTCTGAGTGATTAGGGACACATTGGAATGTCTGGAGTAATCTGCACTGAGACAGGAGATTCAGTTAAGACAACTTAGGTGCCAGGGTTGGGACTGGGAAAGCAGGGCGATGACTGTGGAGACTCTGGTACTGTCCAGGTATAGGGAGGCTGTTTCTAAGAGGAAAGGGGAGAGGGCAGGGGAAAGGTCTCAAGGGCACCACTTACTCCCTAATAAATTCTGAATTCTGAAACTCAAATTACTTTATAATACTCCTAATACTTTCTCACAGATCATAACTTTATTGGCCAGCACCTTAAGAGCTCATGTGGTGCATTTAACAGTTACACCATTCTTAAAATATCTCACTGTTTTATAAGCCTCTAAGGTTTCCCTGACCATAAGGAGTTATCCCAAAAGTGGTAGTGGGATTTTTGTTTTAGTTTCAATGAGGAGCTTTTGACTATTCTCTTGACTATTTATTTTTATTAATAAAATAAAATTATTAGTCTTCAGTTAACAACAGCAAAAATATTTAACTGCCTGTTTCTTAAGGCCTAAACCTATATGTACAGGGTGCTCAATATTTATGTGGCCACAATTCCTGACATCCTCAATTTCCCTATAAGTTTCATGCTTTCTTTACAAAGCTCCAGATGATAATACTACTGCAGAAGGAAACTCTAAGACCTAATCAAGAGCACGAAAAGCTGACTTTACCTCCAATTCATTGCAGCCACTTCATTGATATACTCAGCACAATAGACTAACCCTACTAAGAAAAGATAGAAATTATATTAGAATTTCATCACCAATCACAATCATTATAAAACAAAATAATATATTTTTTACATATAGCAACAGAACACCAAAAAATTTGCCAAGAAATGCAATTTCCATTTTAGCTTTGATGGAGTAAGAACTATGAAAGTGTGATGTTATAGAATATGCCCATTTAATGGAAATCAGAAAAAGATCAACACGTGTAAGATGCCAAGGGTCTTAGTGAAAATCCGATGAAGCTGTTCTGCACTGGCAGGACCACCAAAATCCAGGTGGAAAGCTCAGTTTCAGAGCCTCAGCATTTATGAAAATGAAGGAAATAAATCTGATGTTTTTATGTTGCTTGAGATTTTAATGAGCCATAAAGCATATAAGGCATATAGAGCAGTGTCTGTAGTTTGTTCCACCTTTCAAGGCAGTCCCCTCAAGCCCTCTTGTCTGCTCATACCTGGTGCCTCTACACTGCCTGCAGAAACTCTTACCAGGCTCTGAAGCATATTCCACTGCACCCCTCAGTTCAGTTCTCATCAAAATGATCATACAGCTGGTAACAGCACAACTGTAATACATCTAAAGCTATTTACTGAATGTGGGTGTCCCCAAGGAAGTTGCATTAAGCTTAGAAGTCTATTTTGCTCAACAATGTAACCCCAACATTTCTCAGGAAAAGAATTTCAAATAAAGAAGGGACATCATTTCTGTAATGTGAATATTCAGCACTTCACTCATTTTTCTAAGATAGCTACTTGATCATATGTCCTACCTCGCACAGTCAACTGATTCAATTAGTCTAAAGTCAGTTTTTTCCATTTACCAAGCAAAACCTCCTCCTCCTTCCACTGTCCACAAAAGTCAAGTATTTATACTTGTAATTACTCAGCCTTGGAACCACTTAGCTCCTGTAGACTGTGGTGTCTGGCCTATGATCCAGCTTCCCACCCATCTTCAACCCTATATTTGAGGGGCTCTGCCCACTTGTCTGCATTTGGGGCAGACCTCATGCCTGGGCCAGCCAGATATTACTGATATTTTCTTACTGACATTTTACTAAGTATCCTTTTGACCTGTCTGAGGGGCCTAATATATTAATTGTCCACATTTGGCCAAGTACCATGATGTTCATTGTGTGTCCTGGCTTCTGTGTAATCTTCCTCAATTCTGTAAACCTAATCCCTTCCCACAATTTCTAAAGCCATCATCTTTAAAACTGACTTGAAATATATTTTATGTAGAGAATGTCGTTTAATCTGTAGTCTAATTTCCAGAGTATGCAGTGTGGGACTAAGCCTAGTGAGAAAAACAACTGCATGAAAGACATGCCATCCAGGACTGAACTCAAGCAGGAAATTATCTGTGTAAGAGTCAGCATAACAGAATCAAAATCTTAGTACATAGGATGTTCCACATCCTTCCTGGCCATCCTGAAGCAAAAGGAAGACCCCCTTTCAAGTTTAATGTCCAAGCCTACTTCATGATTTCCATACAGATGGAAGGCGCTGGGAGCCCTGTGAAAACATAACACAAACAAACCCAGGACAATATCACAGCAGTCAAAGCACAGGGATAAGGTTTTCTCCTACTCACCTAAGCACAGGAAGTGTCCAATCTGTAGTTTATACCTCTGTGATGAGAAGCATGTGAGAAGTAGGCACAGCAGGTGGAAGGTGACAAGCCCTAGGAGCCACGGCTCTGTCCAGTCAGTCTCCTGTGAGGACAGTTAGTACACTGTTAGACACTTGGGGGTGGGGAGTAGGTATGTCTGCAAAACTGCTTTCCTGTGGGTAACGGGAATTACTGGTCCCTTCCCCTGAGTTTTGCCTCCCAGACATGTGGAAGAAAGAAGAACAAGAGAGGGGAAACAACAATGCTTCAATTGCAAACACATCCACAGATTTCATATAAAGATTTTAAAGTCTGAGCACACAGAATGGAAACCATCGCCCACTTGCCTCTTTTGACTGGTGAATACAATTCTTTTTCAGCTGGGTGAAATCTAAAGGCTTATTATCTAAACTAACAAGCTGAGTAAAGTCAAGTTGATCTATTCAAGAGGATGTACTAGGGGCATGTGAAGCTGCCTAAGGGAAGGTCTTCACATCAAGGCCTGGAATGAGAGACATCCTAACATGAAGGTAGGTAGCGCTTCATCAGTTCTCCGGGGCCTTACGGATGATCAGTGTCATACTCCAGGGCCCAAATCTTTCTGACTGTCCCCACTTGATACTTGGTTCCTAGCCCAGTCTTCTTAGCACTTCCCCACGCTAGCTCTGGAGCGTGGAGGCCAAAAGCTCTTCAGGACTGCTTGGAGTCCAGTGCCCTTAATGGGTACCGCATGTGTCTTCTGTGCCACACCAGAAGGGCAGCACACTGAGAGTCCTGCCCAGAGCCTGCTAGAGAAAGCAATGTATGCTGACGCTGCCAAGACCCACCCGGGTAGGCACATCGGTGCTGGGACCCAGGGGACTGCCTGTTGCGCATCGGGGTCTCCTCCAGCCAGCGGAGCCCACGGTGGGCACATGCTGGGGACCCAGGGGGACTGCCGGTGCGCACCCCGGGATCTGCCCGATCCAGCGGAGCCACAGCGCGGCTTCAGGATACAGCCTGCCCGCGCCTGCGCAGTCCCACACAAGAACTAGCGAATCCCCACCACGCGCCAGCGCCGTCCAGTCTCCAGAGCCTGCGAGTTACCATGATCACCGCGGGGATGCTGACCGGGAAGGCTTCTGACCGAGAAACGGCGAGGGCATCACGCCGGGGGATACCAACAACCCTGAAGAAGTCCGCGGCTTCCGACAGCCAGAGAAGTCGCCTAGTCTCGCGAGATCTACAGGTAGGAACCTGGAATTTAGCTCTTCTCGCGAGAGTTTTTTTTTTTTTTTTTAAAGAGGTCCAACTTTCATTATTACATTAATGGAGTTCTGTAAGAAGTGTAAAAGTGCTTGCCTAGTTCTCTTTCTCCCAAACTCCTGAGGGTGGCTTGGTTCCACAGACACAGCCAGCGGCTGGGCCCAGAGAGTCCGACCCTTGCAACACAGTCCGGGAATGAACTGGCAAATTGGCGCACTTTTTACAACCGAGGACGGACCCAGCTTTCTCCCTCACAGACCTGGGGTGAAAACGGCGTTGGCTCCGCAGAAGCGGGATCATCTCGGGCATCTGCACTCCACACCTGGAAAGGACCACGGCCCACCTCCACACAAACCCGAGATAAATACAGCATGCTTCTCAGAGACCTGGGGTGGACATGTCAGTCCCCCAGAATCGGGATGAGCTCAGCGTCCACATCACGGCCCCGGGACAGATGCAACGTCCTCGGTACAGACTCGGCTTCCGTGCTTCACGTACCCAGATGAATACGGTGCCCTGTCTCTCCCACAGACCCAGGCTGAGTACTGCGTCTGTGCTTCCCACAGAGCCGGAATGACTTACCCCACAGAGTCGTGGTGGACGACATGGCATGGGCACCCTAAAGACTCAGGATGAATACAGTATCAGGTCCCACAAACGCTGGATAGACATACATATGGACCTACAGTTCACATGGTTCTTCCTCAGAGAAATGGGATGCCAGTGGTGTCTGTGCCACAGACACGAAGTAGACACGACTTCGGCCCTACAGGCCAGGAATGGACGTGGTGTCCATGCCTCACAGACCTAGGATGAATGTGGCATTTTTCTTCGGAGATCTAGGACAGATATTTCACCTTCAGCAGAGACCTGGGGTGTGCACGGCATTTGGACCCTACAGACTTGGGGTGAACAGGTTACTTCCACCCCACAGATACAGGATTTATCTAGCTCCCTAGATCTGAATGGACATAGAATTCTTGCCTTACATACCTAGAATGGACACTGTCCTCTCTGCATACCTAGGTGAACACGGTGACCCATCCCACAGATCCTGGATGGACACAGATTCCTGGTCCCACACACCTAGGCTGAACACAGGATCTGAGCCACAGACCCAACATGGACGCTGACTAAAGGCATCTCCACACACGCCGCCCCCCCCCCCCCCCCCCCCCCCCCCCCCCCGCATCCTACAAACTAGAGATGGACATTGTGCCCATATGGCATAGTGAAGCATCCCTACCCAGTGCATATGGGTAGTGCATCCACAGATGTAGGATGGACACAGTAGTCATCTCATCGACCCAAGACTGTGGTGACTCCCGTGCAAGCTTTACAGCAGGCAGGGAAAATATGCTCTGAGTGAGGATGAATGAATGAGGAGGAATGAAACTCAGCTTAGACCGATTTTGTTGTAACCAGTGCTGGACCAGGACTTCTAGAGTCTGGCCTAGATCATTTTACTTTTGCCATATTTAACCATAGCACAATCTTGGGGGAAAATATTCAAATAATAATTAAACTCAGTTCCAAGTGCACAATTTAAGACATGTTTACACTGAAATTCTTTACAAAGTACATCTGACTTCATTCACAAGAATGAGTACTGTTGACTCAGAGATGGTGGCAGGCCCATGAACATGGACTGGCAATGGATTGTTTAGTGGTTTTAATACTGTTAAGCACACTTAGCTCATGCATGAAGTTCTCCTAACTGCCTGTGTAAACAAATGAGGACTCAGAAGTGTTAAGTCTGTATGTTATGACATCTGCACATGCACCTTGTTATACAATCTGTACTTGCTCTTCACTTAATGGTGTGAAGTGAACAATGATGTCATAACCCATCTCCACTGGTCTGAACACTGACAGTCATAGCCTATCTCCTTCACTTGGTTGTGGAATGGACTCTGATGCAGTGGTCCAATATCCTTCACCCCATTTAGCAACTACCTACCTGTCTTCCTCCTTTCTCCCAGAGACATTCCCAGGCTGTCACTGTTGCCTCCCCCTGTCCTTTTCAGACTTGGGCTACTCTCTGTTTCTCAGGTACATGTCCTCCCCCATCTTTACCAAGGGAAGAAAGAAAGGGGGGGAAAGAAGTCTCAAGGCCATCTGAGTGTGACTTAAAGTTCTGCTTTAAGGAGCACAGGATGTTTGCACCCTGCCAGGATAAGGGGTCTCCCCATTCAGCTTTACCATCATTTGCTTAAAGTTAATGTGCCAGGCTGGAGTTTTCTTGTTGGTCTGAGGGCTAATTATTCCTGATGGTTTTGTGAACTGACTTCAGTGAAGATATGAAACAAGGAGTAACTGCAGTTGCTTTGCCGTCATGTTGGGGCCCAGCCATGAAGATCAATTTGCAATTAAGGAAATAAAAGCAAGTGTTTACATGTGACTGAATTCCTAGGCTAAGGAAATCCTGCCATAGGTACACATTGCTAAGCAAAGTAATTGCTTTCTGGAGGACCTAGCCCAAACTCCTCCCAGGCAGCGCATGAGGAGTCTTTTTTCTAGATACCTGAAGTCTACAGATTCGTTGTCTGATTGCATCTCTTTTCTGTCCTTGTACGATGCTCCTGCCACAGGCTTCTGTCCCACAGACAATTCTGTATACCACAACTAGATATCTTTTAACAAGACAAGATTTTTTTAAAAAGTGCTTTGCTTGAACATTTCACAGGTGTCCACTGCTCTTGAGGCCTCTTGACCCTTCTGTGGTCTGGTCCTGCAGAATCTCCAACCATGAAGCTTTCCTTTCCACGGCCTTTCTTCTTTTCTCAGCACCGTTCAGTTTTGTTCCCTAGCCCTGTGTCTCATGTTGTGGTGTCCTTGCAGTCATCCAGAACTTGGCTGGCTTTCTCAGCTGCTCTCGTTTACTTTCTCAGCCTCTTCATTTGTTTTCTTGGTTCACTGGGCTGCTCTAACAAGGTACCAGCAAGTCTGGTGGAAATTTGGAGGGAAAGAAGGGTCCCTGTTCCTGGAGGTCAGTGTTCCAGGCTGATGAATGGGTCCAGCTCCTGAGGGCCCTGGTACACTCACTCCAAGACATGTTTAGCTTGCAGAGGCCTTCTTTCCTCTTTGGGTTTGGACCCAGCCTAACCTCCCACAATCTCATCTATACATAATCCCACCTGTAAGAACTGTAATTAGGCTACATTTTATCCTTATAGGTCCTGGCTAGCACTTCCTCATACCTGTTCAACCCAGGACATGGTTTAATGTCACCAGTGTTTTTACCCATATTGTTTATTTACTTCCTATTTGCCATGTGCTTATTTTATTGTTTATTAAATTATACACTGCTGTGGAATATTTGTTTAACCAGGCAAAGATGTGTTACATTTGTTTATGCTGCAGAATATTACTTAAACTGTGTAAAAGTGTGTTACTTTTGTTTATGCTGCAGTTGTTTAACGATATAAGGATGCATGTTTAATTATGTAAAGATGTGCAGCATCTGTTTCATTTTGCCTGACTAAGGCACCTGATTGGTCTGATAAAGAGCTGAACGGCCAATAGCTAGGCAGAGAAAGGATAGGCAGAGCTGGCAGGGCAGAGAGAATAAATAGGAGGAGAAGTCTAGGCTCAAAAGAGAGGGAAGAAGGCACGAATGAGGGACACATCCAGGGCAAGAAGCTAGGCAAATGCAGTGAGAGTAAGATACACAGAAGAAAGAAATGTAATAAGCCCCGAGCCAAAAGGTAGAATAAGAGAAACAGGTTAATTTAAGTTAAAAGAGCTAACCAGAAACATATCTAAACTAGGCTGAGCATTCAAACTAATAATAAGTCTCATGTCATGATTTGGGAGCTGGCTGGTGGCCTAAAAGAAAAAGCTTGGTACAATACACTTTTTTTCTTCCTTCCTTTGTTGGTTTGTTTCCTCCTCCTCCTCCTCCTCCTTTCTCTCTCTCTCTCTCTCTCTCTCTCTCTCTCTCTCTCTCTCTCTCTCTCTCGCTATGCAAGCCCAGGAGTAAAACCTATCCCAGTCTCCAGTGCGCCTTTGGTTCACAGTACACAGTAAACCTGTGTACATTCACCAAATAATTGAATGGATGAATGAATTCGTATGGGGATTAACATGATTTCAAAGCTTTGGGAGAAGATACCACTAAATATTTGTTTCTCTGTTCTTTATGTTTTAGATGAGAGCTATTAAGTTCTTTGAAGATTTTTCCTGTTTAATTAAGCTCTTGCTTCTTTATTAACTTTGATAATCAATATTTTCCTGGAAAATGTATATTTGTCTCACAGTTTCAAATATCTTGGCTGAAACTTTCCATTGCCTTCTGTTTATATTGTTAGATGAGTTTTAGGGTAAACCTGTAGCTCAGGGAGTCCTGATAGGCTATGCTCAGCCACTATCTTGATGTGCCAAGTAAGGAGATAAGTAATGATGAAAAATAGAGATAAGAATTTAATCATTTTAGCCACATTGGGAAGAGGACCATAGAGTTCAGTTTCCCTACATCTGTCTTCAGGACAATCAAAAGTAGGCTTAAGTAAAGGAATAATTATGGTAGATTGGCAAGAAATATTCATAATAAAGCAGTTTTTGTCAAGGACTGGAAGGGTTGATCATTATCTCAGTTCCACCAGGTGGTTAGAAGTCCTTATTGAAGCAGGATAGAAAGGGGGAAATTAAGGAGAATCCAGAAGGGAAAGGAGTCCTCTTACCCCAAAGTCTGAAGTGTCTCATCCATTGAGACCATGGAGGATGTCTACGTCTCCAGGCTTGTGACTGCACTGTTCAGGAAACACGCATGCCATCATCGTCATCCATGTTATGGTTACCCATGCCATGGTCAGAACCCACTTGTCACAAGAGAGCTATCACTACACTCCTACTCAGGGGCCATACTCTGAGCCATATTGG